TTTGAGGCCATCATTGCCAAGAGAAGTAGCTAATTATTAACAGTCATAAAACAAAATAGTCATATTTCCCCCAACAGGACTAAGATCCATAAATGGCATATAGACAGCCATAAACAAGCTAAATACTTAAACTTTATAAGAGTTATTTTCCAAGCTTCATGAAGAGAAATGTTTTGTTGCAAAATCAACCACGGAATTATTATATAATAGGATCTTATTCTGTTCCATTGATTTTTTTTTTCTTTTTCAGTCCTGCATTCCTAATGCACTTTCAAAACTAGAATCAAAATTGAATTCAATGTTTGGTTAGCTATCTTGACTAAGATAAGGCTTAAGGTTAGGCTAAGGTTTAGTTTTGCACCAGTTGTGTTGTTTCTACTCTACTAATATCATCTGATAACTTTAGAGTTACACAGTGAAAGACCATTAAAACAAACTGAATTTATATAGCCTTGTACCCATGTATCTTTTGCATCCGTGATCAGAGAAGATGAAAGAGGTTATAAAATAAAGGATCTGGAACATAGAATTTCAGAACAATCTAAGTCAAATGTTACACTTTTATCAGCTTCTTAAACAATTCCACACAATTGATCCCAATTATTGATGGGTATTATTTACCCCTCAATTTTCTTAGACGTTCTGCCCGTGTGATCAGGTGAGATTGAATTAACAATCCTGCTGTGAATATTACTCTACTGAACTAATTCTACTTTCCTGAAAATTTCACTGAGATGAGCTTTATATTTAGCTTATAGAGACTCCTAAGATTACCTTTTTAGTTTCAAAAATTTGTTCCCTAGTGACAAGGTCTCATTACAACTTGTATTTCACACAGGACTACCTGCAACAAGAGACCTGAATTAAGTTTGGAAGTGTAAATTTATACTAATTAGTATTAGTGTATTATCATTCTATTTTTAATAAACAATGTTTTAATTATTTATCTTGTCTTTGACTGTAATAAGCATTGACTTGATTTGAAGTGTTAATTACATTCTTGTCTAACATAATAAAGTTTGGACTTCATTATGACATTATGGGTTCTTTATTGATGGGTTTAGCTGGTTGGATCCTTCAAATAATAAACTGTTTTATATGACTTTGTTTCAGTATGGTGCATTATGCCAGTATGTGATCACTAATTTAGCAAATCATGGTTAAGAGGTACGTGTGAACCTAGCTATTGTGATTCCAGCAAGGCTCAGATAAAGATCACTGGAAACAAACTTACCTTCTAACCCAGTGGTTCTCAACCTTTTTAATGCCGCGACCCCAACCGGTAGTAAGTCGAGGACTAAACCGGTCGTAAGTCGAGGACTAAACCGGTCGTAAGTCGAGGACTACCCAACCAGTCGTAAGTCGACTTTTCCTGCCCGGGAGCGCCGCGCATGCGTGGTTCCGCCCCCTGCGCCGACCGAGGTGTAGCTGGCAAGCGGCAGAGACGGAGCAGGCCGACCACCAGCTGGCCCAGCCCAAGGGAGGTAAGGCACCCGCCAGAAAAGGGAAAATGGCGGACAAAAAAAATGGCGGACAAAAAAATGGCGGACAGCCTTGCTTGGCGACCCCCGTGAAATGGTCGATCGACCCCAAATGGGGTCCCGACCCACAGGTTGAGAACCACTGTTCTAACCTGAAGCTGCTCTGCTCTGTGTCTACTTGCAATCTTAAGTTGTGTAAGAAAGCAATTACCTAAGGTCACTGCTGTTAGAGTGAGAAGAGATTGTCCACTGGTATGCATGGAGATGGAATAAGAAAGGGTGATAAGCTTTGCTGTGATAATTAAATTGCAGATCTTGTTTGTGAAGAAATGTATTGGTTTATTAGAAACAATTTAGTTTACCCAACAAGCAATGCAGAGACTGGCTTTAAGAAGTCTCTGGATATTTTTTCATTTACTTAGCCTGTTGGTTCATTGCTGTGCCTTGACAGTTATCTGGCAGAAGTGATCCATGCAACCCTGATTGATAGTGGTTACATTTTTTAATTGCCACATTGCTCAAGAATGGTAGTGCATGATGGGCACTGTGAAAAATTAAAGGGACTTCTTATCCCTGTCTGTGCTACTTGGAACACTAGATGTAACTGATTTTTCAAAACTGTACTGAGGCAGGTAGTTGTGGAAGATTTTGTCAGGGTGTTAGGACTTCTACAGTTGCTCAAAGATGCTAAGAGCTGATAATGGTCCTGCATTAAGTTAGTTACTATGAAAATATAAATCTGAAATCTTAATCCAGTTGATGGGATTACCCATTAATTTTTGCTAAGGAAAATGAATATGGGCAGCAGGTTAATAATGAAAAGATCCACGAAACAAATTAGATATAATATGACATTAAGATAAAGTGCACAAAAAACTATTTGAACACAATTCTAATACAGTTCTATTTGAAATTTTGCTGCCATTCAGTTCTAAAAAGAAAAAAATAAATCCGATTGTCTCAGGCTTTCCAGGCACATGTACATGCCTGTACTAAATATACTCTTTGTTTATATCCTTTTTATACAGTTTGCTGTGTGAAGCCCCAGTATTCCATCTGTATCTCCTAACATAAGAGGCACGAAAGCTTGACAGACATCCAAGAATATTGTACATCCAGCTGCCTGGCTTATGTCCTAAAATGTTTTTGCTGCTTATGTTCAGTGTGTGGTAAAATATATATGTGAACTGGAGAGAACTCTAGCCAACCTCTCTCCTCCATCAGTCCCCCTTTTTGTTTTCATTTTAATAATTGCATGATCTGCAAATATTATCATTTGCCTGATTATAGTTTGTTGAATAAGCCACAGTTCAAATGTTACATATATCTTGCTGTCTTGAGAATTGCATATCAAAATGACTAAATTCATACCAGCACGTTAGACTAAAACCTAACAGAACACATTATGTTTAATATTGGTGTGAATCCAGCATTGTGGTTTATAAGCCAACTGTGACTACTAATTCACTATTAGTATAACCCATAGTTCAGTGCAGTTTTTTTAACCAAGCATATGTGTTGAAGTGTGTTGGTGCCCTTTTGTTTTTTCAGAAATGGGGAGACTGTAAGTTTTAGTCCCCTCCCCCCACTTAGGCACAAAACCAGCCTGATGACCTTGGGCCAAACACTCTTTCTCAGCCCTAGGAAGCAGGCAATGGAAAATCACTTATGAAACTTTGCCAAGAAAACTGCAGGTACCTGTCCAGGCAGTTGTCAGGATTTACCATTGACTCAAAGATTTTCAAATAGGTTGCTTACCTGCTCAAAGTTATCCTTCTAGAATTGTTTTTACTACAGATGTTCCTCAACTTACAACCATTTGTTTAGCGATTGTTCAAAGTTAGAAGAGCACTGAAAAAAATGACTTACAACTGGCTCTCGCATTTACAATCGTCGCAGCATTCCCATGGTCATGTGATCAAAATTTGAGCGCTTGGCAGTAAGCATGTATTTTTGACAGTTGAAACATCCGGGGGTCATGTGATCGCCATTTGCACCCTTCCTGACTGGCTTCCAACAAAGTTAATGGGGGAAGCCAGATTCATTTAACAATTGCATAATTCACTTAACTGCAATGTTTCGCTTAATAACCATGGCAAAAAAGTCATAGAATGGGGTATGACTCACTTAACAATTGCCTTGTTTAGCAACAGACATTCTGGTCCCAACTGTGGTCATATGTCAAGGACTATCTGTATTGTTTTGCCAAGAGTTTTTTTAAAACGTGTGTTCTGAAAAGGCTTTTTTGTTCAGAAATTTGCAATGATTTTGATAAAATATCTGAACTTTAAAGTTGAATACTGAATTTGCATCTAATTTAATTGTCTTATCTTAAATAACACATTGCTTCTAAAGGGAATGCTTTGATTTTTGCAAATTTTATGCATAGATTTAGTTGCCTGGTTCACATATGGTATGTACTAAAATATGGTTTGGTGTTTGTAATATGATATGCTATATAAATCTAGATAATGTGGTTTATTGATCATGGTTTGTGGTTTAGTGTGCTGTGCAAACCCAGTAAACTATTTAAACTAGACTTAAGTAGATGACGGCATCACACGATATAGATACCAAACCATGGCCCAAGGATTAGGTCTCTTACAGTTACTTATTTTCTTTTATCTGTTGTAGCCTAGAATCAGATCCTGTATTGATTTTTGTTTTGTTTTATTTTTTGATATGATTGTAAGACTGATCAATTAATAAACTATGTATCTGTTACAATTATGCTTTCTTGGGACGTTTCCTGACATATATGCATTTAGTTTGCAGCTTGCATGATTTTTAATAATTTTAGGTTTGTGTTTGGAAATATTTTGTGAGGATTATTTTATTAAAGTGTTAAACTTGTGCACTATTGAAGATACTATTTTATAGTCAATTGCCTTTTTTGTTCTTTTAAAATGGGGCCTGTTGGGGAGAAATTGGTTAACAGCTGTGGGATCTGTGATATTGTGAATCAGGAGAAAGGTGCTGGAAACTGTGACTTAGAAAAGTATGAACAACAGCATAGAAATTAATATGGGTTTATTCTGAAAAGAAGAGGCAAGAAGGTAATGTATGTGTATGCACACACAGTACTTTTGAATGGCTAGGTAACAATTTTTACTCCAGTGTTGTTAAAGCATTGCAAATTTTTCCTGGAATTAGTTAAACCTGGCAAATAAACCCTTTCCTTTCCTTTCCTTTCCTTTCCTTTCCTTTTCTTCCCTTCCCTTCACTTCACTTCACTTCACTTCCCTTCTCTATTGAAATCTTTGTGCTAGCATTATATACATTTTAGGAAACATTGATTCTTGGGCTATGTGGGAATATTAAATGGAATAGTTAGAGATTTCTCTGTTAACCTCTCAACCTACTGAGGATCCAAAGGAAGAGAATATTAAGAGCATAGTTTTATCCCTCTGTACATCAGAAATAAACTCTAGCATTAACATATATATATATATCGTGGCAGTAATAAAAGTATCTGAACACCAGGATAAAAATCTTGTGCTCCCCCGCTCCCTCCCCACTATGACACTGACACAATCCATACGACCTACCTTACCATACATCAATGGCGTTTCTGAAGCCACGGCCAGACTGCTAGCCCCCTTCAGTGTAAAGGTGGCACATAAACCAGACCAGACCCTATGTACCAGGGTTCTGCGCCCCAAAGAGCCACTCCCCACTGGGGAGAAATCCTCGGTAATATATAAGATCAGGTGCAAAGACTGCCCCTGCAACTATGTTGGAGAAACCTCTAAGAGGCTTAGGACCAGGGTCCATGAACATGAGTTGGCAATTAAGAGGCAGGAACAACACTCACAGGTGTGGGCCCATATGACCAACTGTGGCCATGGGTTCGACCTCGCCAGCGTTGAGGCCATATCCCATGATACCACCAAGGGAGGCCGTTTCTTCAAGGAGGCCTGGCTGTCAGACAAGAACTCCATCAACCGTCACATAGATCTTACGCCAGCATACCAGGCATTAAAGGGGTGGGAAGAACAGTGCACCAATGGGAGACGAAGACAACTGACATATTCCTTACAAGATCAGGAGGATGAGACAGTAGGAGAGACCATCAGTGAGAACAAGGAACTGACAGTGCATCCCACAGGCAAGACAACCTCCCAGGCTCGGTTGGAAATGAGTGGGGAGGAGGGGGTGATGGTCAGGGACATCCCACAGGCAAGACAACCGCCCAGGTGTATGTACGCGAGCCAGGGGATGAATAAGGTTGATGGGTAAAGAGAATAGGGGGGAAGTGCACCCCACAGATTCCCAGAAAGCAAATAACTCAGTTCGGATAACAACGAAAAGGGGGGGGGAGATAGTGAGCAAGAACTATTGGATGGCCACCCCCAAGAAGCACACACACACATTGGGGAGCTAACAGCATTGGCGAGCAGGGGAAAGACCCCGACACGCCATGTGGATATTGTTTGGTGAGAAGGGAGGGGAGGATGCAGAATCTAGGCCTCAGCAATATTTTGTGGTACTGGCAAAAAAAGGAGTCTAACCCATAAGGAAGTAATTCTGTAGAGTTTCTCTGAATTTTACTCAAAAAACAGGAGAAATCCAAATCCCTGTTTATGGCACATAAATATTGATAATATGCTTACTCATGTGTAATGTATAATTAACACTTAAATTCTTGTAAGCACAATATCTTAGTCATTACAAATACCTTTTTTCTGATTTGACCAAAATATATGTATAGTTTACATAGTGATTTATGATGAATAGTATAGCTGTGAAACCAATTAAAATGGATCAGTTTAATAGCTAGCAAGCGATAGCATAAAATACTATGCAACATTGAAGGAAATGTTTGAAATGTATGGATGCCCAATTAGACAATTAAAAGGATACTTCCGTCATTCTGAATTAATGTTCTTCAAATATACTTTTTTCTTGCCCCTTTTTCTTTTTATCTACTGTTTTCTGTTTATTGTAGTTATTTATTTATATCCTATTACAACCTAAGCAAACAGCAAACCTGCTCTTTAAAAAATATGAAAAATATTAACAGTTCCATTATAAGCATTAAAAATAGGAATAACAAATTTAGAAATTAAACATTAAAAAAATACAGATAAACAGATATAAGATAAAAAGATGGGCAAATTAGCTATCTAGAACAGGGGTGTCAAACTGGCGGGCTGCAGGCCAGATGCATCACATGCATGCCACGCCCACCCCAGTTCCGCAAAGGCAAAAAAGTTATGAACGTCACGAAACATCACGTGACGCGATCGAGTTTGACACCCGTGATCTAGAACATTCTATGGAACAGCTCAGTTTTTATCATTGACCTGAGTGCCATCACAGAAACTTTGGAAGAATAAGAGATTAAATCAGGGGTAGGCTCAGGAATTCTGGGAGTTGAAGTCCACAAGTCATAAAAGAGCCAAGGTTGCCTACCCCTGGATTAAATGGATCCTGGCTGGGGAAGAAAGAGACAGAGCTACGTACAGGTCTGATCTGAAAAATTATTTTTCCTTGTCTGTTTTACTAGTAAGACTAATCCATCGCCTGAATTGGAAGGACATCAAAAAAACATATCAAGTACTATAAAGTTGGGAAGAGGAAATTTAACAACAGGTGCAAGATGGCTGAAATAATATGGTTTATATAGTGTTCCTCCTGCGGAATAAGCCTTCTTTTTTAATCAGTAAATTGAAGACACATTCACTGAGCATTTGGAAGCTTAAAGGCCACAGCATGCAATGCAAGAGATTCTGTGAGTGTTAGAAGAACTGAAAGACTTCCCTCAAGCGATAAATGTTGTCTACTTTCAACAGCATAAATGTCAAATGTTTGCCAGCCTAATTAGAGCAGTAGGTCAGCTACTGCTTTCCGTGTATAAACCTGGGCCATTAGCTACATCAAAAGGATATATTTTGCTAAATCATTTTTTAATGTTCTGATGTTGAAACTCAGCAGGATTATTTCCTCATGTAGTTTCATTAGTAAATATTAAAATGCATGCAAACATGTACACAAACACATAGTAAACATTTCAAACAGGATTACTTTGCAAAAGATAGTCTTCTGGTTTCAAAATACGTATCTTAAGAAAACAAAAGTGCTTCTTGCTTTAAAGTAGGTATAAATCAAAATATATAAGGATTTTAAGGTAAAATAGAAGAATCTATAGAAAATAATTAATCTCAGCTGAAAACCACACACAAGACCAAGTATCACATTGAAATCTATGCTGAAATAATCCTTACTAAATTAAAAGGGTTATAATAAAATTAATGGATTTAATTAATTGTAAATCAAGGTGAAATTAGATTAAGATTTAAACTACCTATGATGTATTGTTTGGAAATAATCATCCTGTTTCTTATTTGATACAGATAAATTATGTTATTTTAAAAAACAGAAACATGTTAGATATTTAGAAATGAACAGTTCAGGGATTCCCTCATGATACATTTCCCCTGCCTTTACAGAATAAAAGTGTTTCAGGACAGTAATATTTTCATTCACTATTAATTAGGAAATTAGCAAAAGCCGATTAAAATTGGTGCAAGGCAAAGTGTTTTTCATGCATATTATTCCATACACTTTTTCTGCTGCAGATTTACTGCTGGTAAGGTTCAATGTTTGGGTATTAGAAAATGCTGAACCGTCCCACAGAAAGTACTGAAATGGGCAAGCAAGGAAGTAAAAATGTTGAAGAAAAAGGCAGAAAGATATCTAGCCCCAAAAACGTGTGATTTAAGAAAGGTACCTTCTCAGTTGGATTTGAATACTGGAGGCCAGTATTTTCAGCTATTAACTATCCACATATGTTTTTTGACACCGGGTGGCTTTACTTGATCTGTATTCTCTTTATAGTGGGGAAGTTGATTTTGTGCAGGCAAAAGAGCAGAAAAGCATCTTTCAGATGGTAACGAATCAGTTATATATATATATCCCTTTTAGAAGTTCAAGCAGGAGTGTGCACAGGACACTTATTAGGGCTTAGCTCTAAATTGGGTTTTTGGAGATAGCTCAGATAATGTAGTAACATAAGATAGCTGTGAAAGTAATTCTTAAACTATTTCTAGCTAGCTTGGTATAAAAAATTGCCATTAGTTGTATTTTGTTGCTGTGTTCTTGTTGGATTGCAGAAATGTGATCAGGTGTAGGAGAAGAGCAGGCAGCCTGAGGGGGCGGAGTCAAGAGAGAACTTAGCCTAGAATCATTACATATCCATAAATGTTCCAAGTCCAGCCCCCTCCAAATTCCATTACCTTTTATTTAGCACCAATTTAGTGCTGTTCATTAGTTGACCAGATTCTTATGCATATGATTGATCAATAAATCTTCTGAACTTATGTGTGATCCTGATCCTTTGCACTTGACGTTAGGTGAACGTAGGAAAATGAGCATGCAACATTGTTAACCAAGAAGATTAGATCCTTTTATTTTTAACAATGTTTTGCAAACTGCAAGGAGCATGCCACAATTGATTCATTGTTATTCTTTATCCGTTTGTTTTCAGTAGATCTACAGAATATGTTTTGGTGCTTAAAAGCTTTTAATTTTCTTCTCAAAATTTAAACTGCTTAGTTATCTCTTAATTTAGCTTATGCTACAAATTGTCTTCCTAGATTTATCCAGGCTCTTCTCAAAATAGGGGAATTGGGGAATAAATAGATGTGAGAAGCCTTCCTCCTTCCTGATCCAATGGTTTCTTGTTTATTCACTGTTGGTGATCTCTGTGTGAATTGTGTAACCAGCCTGGTTCTTTTCTTCTACCACTCCTATCTCAAACCTATTTTATTCCTCAATTGAAATATTTTATATATGTTGTAAAATGTCCCAGACACTTAAGACTTCAAATTATTTTGTGTGTGTAAAAATATTTATAAAATATTTTAGACATTTTGGAAGAGGATAAATGCATTTCAACATAAGTATAGTATTTGTGACATGGTATTTATCCTTCATTTATTTATTTGTTAAATTTATTTGCCACCTCTTTTGCCCTTGGGCTATTCTAGGCAGCTTGCAATAACAAAAATGAAAAAATGAAATGTAAACATAACTGTAGTAATGGAATAATAGAATAAACAGTGAAAAACACATTGATACCAGTGCAATGGACTTTGAAGCTCCATTGTGTATATGAATTGGCAGAATATTTTCCTCCATATGGTCTATAAATTGTTTCATTGCTGCTCAGTATGGGGTTAGGATTCATTATCCACATCAACAATTTACTGAGAGTATATCTTCAGCTTCCCACTGAGTTAAACTGTTAGGATAACACTGTTGTCGCCTAATACAATATCCAAGTTGCTCTGATTGTTCATTCACAGTTGTAGAAGGCAAAAGCCCTGGAATCTTGATCTTGCTCTGATTTTGGAACTGAAGATTATTATCATGTTAAGCCTCGGGTAAAGTTGCCCCAGAGATATTTATTTAGAATACTCTTTTTTGAGATTGATATATGGCAACAGACTTCAGGATATTTTGCTTGATTGGTTGGTATCCCAACTTTTTGTCAGAAATATAACAATTCAGAATAAATATTGACCAATTTCATTTGTATTTCTTGCTAGATAGACAGAATGTTTAAGCCCAGTGGTTGACTTACAATTGTTAGATCCATAACCATTTTCACTACAGGATCTCTCTTTTTATATTTCTCGGTGACCTCTCCCATATCTCTAAGCTCCAAACTATTTTTAACACTTAAGTGGGCCAATTGAAATGATAATGAAAGAATTATATAAATTATATAGAAATGTATTATATATTGCTCTACAAATCTTAGAGTAGTATTTTGAAATACAGTATATAACCCATTCTGCTTTTGTAGGTGGTAGATGGAGAGTTCATGGATACATGTGGCCTTCCATACTCATTTTTGCAATCTCTGAAGCCCCAGAATCATATTACCTTAATTCAGTGGTAATAGACAATTTCTTCATGGCTTGATTTGTCTTTTTTCTTTTTTTTTTAAAAAAAGGCTAAAATATTGCACCCTTTCATTTTAAAAAGCACATAATTAAAATAGGACTGAAAGCACTGGACCTGCTGCCTTCAGTACTGATTTCACTGCAGGATTGCATATAACTATAGTATGTCTGTCAAGATTCAAAGTAAAGGAAGTTAATTATTCATGGTTTAGATTAATAATGCTAAAATTCTCTTACCACAAAGTGTTCTAAATAAAAATAAAATATTCAATTTGGGGATATTCTGTAAATTTGGCATGATAATTTGTTTATGTGATAACAAGAGAAAAATAAATCTTCACATGGCTTCTGAATAGATATATGTAGTAGCTTCTTTTAAGTACAGGTCGTCAACTTATGACTGTCAAGCCCAGAATTATGGTTGCAAGCCATGGTGGTCATTATTATTGCAATATTGGAATTCAACATTATGGAAGCACAAGCAATAGAACACAGTCAAACTAGAGTCTTGGACTTCAAGAGAGCTAATTTCAATAAACTTAGGGCTTGGGAAGGATTCCGTGGATGAGAATCCTCAAGGGGAAAACAACTCAAGAAGCTTGGGAAATTTTGAAAAATGAGATAATAAAAGCCCAGTCTAGCACAATACCAACAAAGAGGAAAAATAACAGCTCTCAAAACAAACCAGCATGGCTGCATAAAGAACTCTCTGACAAATTGAAAGATAAAAAGGACAAGTATAGAAAGTGGAAAGAGGGGCACATAACTAAGTCAGAATATCAGCAAATAGCCCGAGCCTCCAAAGATGAAGTGAGGAAAGCCAAGGCTCAAAATGAACTAAGGCTTGCGACCAAAGTCAAAGATAACAAAAAAAGCTTCTTTCAACATGTAAAAAACAAGAAAAAAGTGAAGGAAATGATTGGTCCATTAGTGGGTGAAAGTGGCAAGAAGGAGGCAAGCAACAGGGAGAAAGCAGAACTATTTAACTCATTTTTTGCATCTGTCTTTACAGAAAGGGAAAAAACCAGACCAACCTATTGAAAATAGTGCCATAAAAAACAGAATAGAAACGCAAGTTAAGATAGGCAAGCAAATGGTAAGTGAGCACCTGTCCAGCCTAGACGAGTTCAATTCGCCAGGACCAGATGGATTAAACCCCAAGGTTCTCAAGGAACTGGCAGATGTGATCTCAGAACCACTGAACTATATTTTTCAAAGATCCTGGAGCACAGGGGAACTACCAGAGGACTGGAAAAGAGCTGATGTAGTTCCCATCTACAAAAAAGGGAAAAAAATGGTCCCAGGAAATTACAGACCTATCAGCCTGACCTCAATACCTGGGAAGATCCTGGAAAAGATAATCAAACAATGAATCAACGAACACCTAGAGGCAAACAAAATCATTACTAAAAGCCAACATGGGTTTGTCAAAAATAGATCATGCCAGACAAATCTTATTGCATTCTTTGACCAAGTGACAAAATTAGTGGACCAGAGGAATGCTGTGGACATAATTTACTTGGACTTCAGTAAGGCATTTGATAAAGTAGATCACAACCTACTACTTGACAAAATAGAAAAATGTGGGGTAGAAAGCACCACCACCAGATGGATCCGTAGCTGGCTGACCGGCCGTACTCAGCATGTGGTCCTCAATGGAACTGCATCTACATGGAGCGAAGTGTGTAGTGGGGTGCCCCAGGGCTCTGTTCTGGGCCCAGTGCTCTTCAATATCTATATCAATGATTTGGATGAGGAGATAGATGGGGAAC